CAAAGTGTACACATGATGGGGCACGGGGATTCCTTCTATTAGTTCATATTCTCTTGCTATTGGGAAACTGCTCTTTTGAACCACAGCCTTTCATTCTGCAACATATACTACTTAAATCCAAAAGTAGAGCAAATTCGAAAATTTGAGTCTTGCCGCCGTATGTTAGATTCTTACAGTTATACGCTTTTAAGGTGACTTACTGCCTACTTTTGAATGTTCGATTTGAGCCCACGATGTGCGCGTGCTCAACAACCGCTGAAAAATCTATACAAGATTTTATTGAAGAACCACACGCGCTTTGAGCTTCAACAGGGCAAAACCCTCAAATTTTGCACGGGACTCTCTATTTTTTAATAGCTCATTCAAAAAAGCTCCTAAAAATGTTGGTTATATCAACTTTTTAGAAAAGTTAATTATTTAAATACATGAACGACAAAATATGACAAATCAATGTATTTCTTTGTCTTTTTGTCAAAAATATCCACATCATATTGTAGGATGATTGACTAGCCGTGATTCGTGCAATCATAGAGTCTGAAAATTAATATTATCTTATGGATCTCAATTTTTTTCTGATAACTTCCAATTGCGCAATTTTTGCTCCAAAAGCTCGTGCGTAGGCTTCCATTAAATGCTGATTATCTCGAAAACAAGCTCGGGACACCCCATTTTTCTTTTCATATTTGGAATCAGCATTAAATTTCACTTTAAAATAATGTAGTCTTAACAAAGTTTAAAATTTTTTCCAAAAGTAGACAGTCACTTTAAAGCCTCTAACCATTATGTAAAATAAAAGATTAATGTTGGTAAAATACTATCTACTCAGGTTATAGAAATAATAGAGAATTGAACTTTGGATACTAAGTAAAACTGTTACAGTGTGACTACACCAACCAGGCCACGCAGACAAATTTCCATAAAAATTAGCCAATCACGATTGAGTATTTGAACAATAGAATGTGTACAAACTGAATAGTGCATTCCAAGACCAAAGGACATTGTTTGTCTTGTTAATTTGAAATAAAAAGTAAATATACAGCAATTAACTCTCTACGTGTAGTTAGTATATTGTTTCAGATGGAATACAATAAAAATAGATTTAATAATTATTATTAATTCTACTTCAGACAATGTCACTATGACCCGCAATGCACTTCGGTCTTGGAATGCACTATTCAGTTTGCAGTATTCAGTATTCAACCTTTTTTGAAATAGTTGTATTTTACTTTATACGTGTGTGTGTGTGTGTGATCAGGAGTAAACAGAAAGCAGTTTAAAACCCTGCATTCATGCAAATCATCATTATTCGGCGTCAAAGACGTCATGATTTGCTTTAAAATTTGTTTGAGTGGCCTTGGTTAATGTAGTCGTACTGTAAGCATACTTTGAGCTTTCATTGTTATCAAGACTCCAGTGGAGTTGAAAGCTCACAGTATGCTTAATAGTTTTGCTTAGTGTATCTAAAGTTTAATTCACTTTTTTTTAAATACATTATTGTTTCGTATCATTTATTGTTTTGTGTATGCTTGTCGGCCGAATGTGTAAAAACTCCATTTTCGAATGCGTACAACACCGCTGTACTTTCAGACTCATTTTTAAAATATATTTAAGTAAAGATTGTAGAAATTCAACACGACCTGCACTGGAGCATGTTTATGTTCTACACAAATTTGAAGCTTACCCTGCGCAACAGAAATCGTAACTGGAGTGTTAAAAAAAACACATTCATAAATGTGGGCAGCATGAAATTCCCCGTGTTAAAAAGGACATCACCAGATCTAGATTATCCTCCTCCTCCTCCTCATCATCATCATCATCTTTATCATCAACAGCAACACCTAATGTTACGACCACCGCTCCAACAACAGGTATTATTATTATTATTATTATTATTGTTATTATTATTATTATTATCATTATTATTATTATCATGGCAGCATATACAACATGATGCCGATAGTATATACGATCAGTCGGGCAGCATATAAGGCTGTGACCGACTAAACGGCAGCCTGTACAAAATAAATGAATGAATAAATATATTTTATAACACTCATTAATAATTCATAAGCTTATGGTCCAATTGAAGCCACCATACACGTCACGTGCATGAACCTTTATACCCGATAAAGTCCTCTTCATTAGTATTCAAGTGATTTTATATAAAGACACATGTGTCTTTATATAAAGACCACTCGAATACTATAAGGATGACTTCATCAGGGATGAAGTATGCATCCAAGCTTAGATGAAGACATAGAGCTTCATCAAGGTCATAGTCAATCCTAAAGATCTTTGACTAACGTGCCTGTCTTTCCCTTGGCACGCAATATCCAACGTGTGGGAGCTTCTATTGAATCTGGTTGCGCATGCCCGTGACGTCAAATCTCTATCGAAGTATAAAAATCCATGTTCGTGACGTGTATGGTGGCTCCAGTTGAACCAAAATCTTATGAATTGTTCATGAGTGTTTTAAGCAGTTCAAAAAACTCGTAGATCGTGTTTTATCAGGTATAAAAGCACGAGACTACGCCTTGTGCTTTTATACCTGATAAAACACTCCTACTCGCATCGTTTTTTAAACACTAAATAATGATAATAATATAAAAAACTAATTACAAAATTATCATCATCATCATCATCATCATCATCATCATTATTATTATTATTATCTTTTTTAAAAAATTGGTTCAATTTTGCTTACAAAATCCTTAGTTTACTGAGTCCAATCCATGGGCCTTGGGAAAACGAGAATATATTACAATACGGGGTAAAATTATAAAAAAAAGAATCAAGTAATCATGAGAGTTTTTCTAATGATGTGTGCAGTTCCAAGGAGAGCGACCTTCTGTACTTCTGTGATAGAGATGTCCCCTTTTAAATGGTTGACATATTGTTCTAGTCCTTTGTGAATTAACCCCAGTGCCCAAGGTGCATTGTGGGAAATAAAAAGTAAATATACAGCAATTAACTCTCTACTTATAGTTAGTATATTGTTTCAGATGGAATACACTAAAAATAGAATAAATAATTATCATTAATCCTACTTCAGACAATGTCACTATGACCCACAATGCACATCGGTCTTGGAATGCACTATTCAGTATGCAGTATTCAGTATTCAACCTTTTTTCGAAATAGCTGTATTTTACTTTATACGTGTGTGTGTGTGTGTGTGTGATCAGGAGTAAACAGAAAACAGTTTAAAACCTTGCATTCATGCATATCATCATTATTCGGTATCAAAAAATGTGGTTAATGTAGTCGTACTGTAAGCATACTTTGAGCTTTCATTGTTATCAAGACTCCAGTGGAGTTGAAAGCTCACAGTATGCTTAATAAAAAGA